TGTCCAGCAGTTGTGCAAAAATGCTTAACATTTAAGGGGTTTTAATGATAAATTTGGAATGTTTATCCAGCACAGTAGACATTGCTACTGAGGTCAGCGGGTTTTTGGAGGAATGCTCGAGAGCAAAGATTAAATACAGTGTGTATGTTCCCAGTGGATTCAACACTGCTGTGCCCAGAGGTCACTTCACTCCTCGTTCAGTCAGCTCACTACACCTACCTTTGGAGTGATTGGGGCTGAGTCAGGATGTTATCACATCTCAGCAGTTTCATTCATTTAATGGTCTGGATTCTTTAGATGTCCAACTGCTGCAGAGGAAGTGCCAAGGTCTAGGCACTTCCAGCTTGTTCAACAGCACGTTGAAAGCACAAAAAGCTTCAGTGGTTCAAGCCCAGAGCAGCCCTGAGACTTTGCTCCAGATGTTTGGCAGTACTGAAGACACTGTGGCAATCTGATTTTTCTTTATCAGTGGCAGGAAAGACAAATGCCATTGTCTGCTGCCTGTGTTTGGGTACCACCCATCAGCAGCATTCAGAAGTTAATTCCATCATTCCTAAGCGTTCAAATAAACAACAAGAAGAAAAATAATTTTGATTACATCAGTGTAATGGGAGACAAATGTAGCCCGGTTTGCAAAATCAGTCTTAAATTTGACTTATGGTAGAAATTTTCTGGTGTAATTATTGTTAGTGTTGTCTTTCCACCCATTAAATCTTTGCAACATATATTTCTATCAGCTAAAACCCTGATGCCAATGCAATTGTAGCAGCAAAACAGTTATTCTGGTAGAATTTATCAGAACTTCAGGGAAGTGGGATGAAAAACTCCAGCACCTTTGACTGAAGTTTTTTTTTGAAACAACAGATGATTAGTTGGAAACACATCTCATTTCTAAGGCCCAGAGAATGTCTCTAAAGGCCCTAAATTTTCATCTGCTTAATCACTGCTGATTTTTGTCACATACAGAGAAAACTGAGTTTCAGTGGAGATGGTATAGACCCAGTACACATTGTTGGTGAGTTTGTTTGGCTGTCATGAAGTGAATTTTATAAAACCACGCTATGAAAGATGTAGGTTCCATGTGGCAACTCTGCAATAAACCCACGTCCTCTGCTGTGCAGAAACCCACTAAGGGGAGTTATTAACAATTGATAGCTTCTCTGTGGTTGTGTTTATTTTTTATAGTGACTAACAGTTTACTTGAGCAGTGAGCAGCAGGTACTGCCCCACTGGGGAGATCTGGCTGTCCAGGCTGTCAGCTCCGTGTGTGCCCACAATGAGCTGAGGGAAACAGAAATCTGGGACGGTTTCTGCAAACACACAACCAGGAGAAAGTGTGTGTCTCCAGCTCAACTGCTCATTCACAGTTGGAGCACTACAGACATGAAGGAAACACAAATTCTTTACTGTAGCAGCAGTTCACCAAGTTCAAGTGAACCTCTCGGACATACTGACACAAAAACATGGCTACCAATTTAAAGCACAAAACACAAGAAGAAATATTTTGCAAGAAGCCAGTGAGTCATATTTTCCTCATAAAATTGTTGAAACCATTGTGCCCAGAAACAATTAAAGATGTGACTAGGGCTGGAAAAGTTTAGCCATAAACACAAACAGACCCCAGTTTTTTGTTTGTAAAGGATGAAGGTCATTTGGCTTGAGGAATATCCTAAAACTAACAGAGACAGAGCAGAACACGCATTTTGTGTGTCCTCATTGCTCCACAGGAGCCCCAGTGTTTGGCCCTACATGCCTGAATACTTGGTGACACCAAAAGTTAAATGCCAATAGTCTGTTATGGCAAATCATCGTAACAGGGGCAAACAAACCTACTCCTTTAATTTGAAAAAAACCCCTTTTTTTATTTATATTAAAAATGCCCCTCTGAGACCTGAAGGCTCAGTCATACAAAACTGATACTAAAACATTTGAGTGGATGAGTCCCTGGCAGTTGAGATGTGTGGTCAAGACTCACCAGCTTTATAGGAATTTTTCAAGACTCCATGGTTTTTCCAGTAGTTTGGTGTTTCATTGCCCCTGGCAATAGACTCCTTCATTTTGGCCTGATATTTTTGTGCTCTGCATATGCCAGCCCCTGCCCAGCTACTGTCCTTGCATTCTGTGCTTTTGGGAGGAGTAAAAGGGAGGAAGTTCCTCTGCTCCCTAGGGCATAACCCCTGTATTTATGAGATTTGGAGACATTGGCCTGCACAGCAGAACTTACAGGTTAGGAGGCAGATTTGAACTGAGCTTTGTTGGGGGTCCTTATCTGATTTATTTCTACCCTAAAGGCGGGTAGAATTTGAGATGTGTCCAGATGCTTTTTCTCAGGGGCACTTGTAACACAGCTCAGCACTTCATTCAGTCACTCCAGCTAGAAAAACCCTCTGTTTAAACAACTGCATTTATAAGTCTTTCTTATAAATACAATGTTGTCTTGACATCCAACTTATGGTCTTCTGCTCAGAAGTGTGAAGGGAGCTGTCAGATTTCTAGGTCACTACAAAAAATATATGTATTAGGTGTGTACCAAGAGGTATTTGACTTTGTGGACATTATTTCAGAGCAAGAAAGATAACCTCTCTAATGGTGCTTTCCTAACGTGATTGAAATTCCCTTCGCTCTTGGGGAACTGGGAAAATGTGCTTGTGAGTTGCTTTGGGGAGTAGCTGTGTTAGAGCAGAAGGTGACACAGTCAGTGGCCTCGGGGACTGAGCTCTGTGCAGTCTCAAAAACAAATGACCCTGAGGAGCTGAAATGCTTTTGGCCATGTCCGAGTGAGGCCCAAGTCATCTCTCACTCCTACTGATTTGCCACAGTACATCTTTTTAAGTCCAGAATTACATTTGATTTATAAACACACATGTGGCAGCAGAATCAAGTCTGGGCAATTTGAACAATTTATTTCTTTCCCCAGCTGAGTTTGGGGGTCTGTACGTTTCCAACATAATCCTTCACATCTAAACTTCAGTGCACAGGATTTTCTTCAGAAGTCTTCTCATCATTTTCCACTTTCTGTTCCCTGCCAAGGGCCTGCCTGGTTTTGTTTGTTCCATGTCTGGGTGCTCCAAAGGCTGTCAATCCATGCAGGCATTAGGGGTCCTATAAAATTAGACAAGCTGCTCCTGCATTTTCTTACTCCCTTTTAGCCATGAACTAAGTTTCCCAGGTTAAGAGCTAACAAATAGATCCTGGGAATCTGGCTTAGCCTTGCTGAGGGATGTGGTCAATAACCATGAGGCTATTCCTTTTATTTCTTCCTTTAGCAGCTTGTTATGCAATTACATTTTTCAGTAAGTTGCATGCTTTTTCAGGCTAATGATCCTTTTGATGGGGTGACAGTTCACAGACTTACAAACATCTGAAAACTAGAGGAAAGAATGGAAAATATTTTGAAACTTCAGCTGTGATATGATGCAAGTACAAAGTCTGATTAAGGGTGTTAAGGAGGATCTTTTCAAAGGAGGAGTATGTAAGTGCTGTACAGTTTGATTAAAAGGTGATTAAGACCCACCTATGTTTTCCATGTAACAGATTTCCATGGATACTACTGAGGCTGTGGAGTCCCATGGACTCTGATCCTCTGAGATGTGAAATACCTTGCCATGCTCAGCACCTCTGACAAACCAGTGAGCTTGCAAAGCAGGCAGCTGTTTGGCTCAAATTTATCATTTTCACATCTTGTTCTAAAATGTTTTGCCTGTTTTTCCCAGATGTTTTCAGGAGCTTGGCACAGCCCTCAGAACAGACAAAGAGTCTTAGACCTCAGCCCAGGGAATTGACTGAGTGGCTTCTCCTGGACCAGTCAGTCTCACTGCAGGATCTTTGCTTCTGGAAATCCAGGACAACTGTTCCTGCTCTGGGAGATGATGATACCTAACCTTAGTCACTGGCAGTAATTCCTGTACTTGTAGACTAGCCCAGAATTACCAAAACACCCTCCAACCCCGTTCCTCTTGGGAAGTACATCGAACCACTCAGTTCTCATGGGCACTCTGGAAGAGCAGTGAAGAGGTTGCTTTCCAGGTTAGTGGCAGAGCCAGGGAAAAAGCCTTATGTTGACATTTCTGGCCTCCTGTGTGAGTAATGGTAGCCATGCTAGAGGGAGCATCCACTGGTGGATTCAGAGCTCGCTGTTCTTCAGAGCACACTGTGATGTGGGACAAACATCTGCATGGCCATGGAGAGCACTTTCTTGGAGTTTGTACTTCTCCCTACAAATACATACTCCAGCTTTTTGTTTGACTCAGTTTTACTCAGTTGTGGTGTTTACATTACACCAGCTTGAGGGGGGAAGGAAGGGAATTTTTCTGTATATGAACTGTCCGGGTGATTTTCTACAGCTGCTTTGAAGGATATGTCTGTTACTTATATTGTGACTTGGATTCTATAGACACATGGCAGAGAACACAGTTCTCCAGAAAGCCAAAGAGTTTGACTGATGGAAAACAAGAGAGCAATCCAAGAGAAACCCTGCCAGAGGAGGAGCATGAACCTGAAATTTACTGTTGAAACCAGACTTCTGCCTTGGGCTTAAGCACCACACTCAGCCAGTCCTACCATTGACTGCAGTGTGGCTCTGCACACATGCAAGGAACTGCTTTTTGGACCTCTCTAAGTCTGGAGCTTAAGTATTGTTCTGGCTTCCATACTGATTTGGAAATACACTGGTTGGCCTGGACTCCTGAAGCAGTGGGACAATTACAGGGTTTTTAAAAAAATCACAAATGTAGAGAGCCTGTGAATTGAGGCTATTCTGGCTTTTGCATAGTGAGTTTGTAAAATGCATGAGAGATTTCATTTTAGACTGTTCAATCCCTCATTAATTGTACAGTGGATGGCAACAGAGGAAACAGGATTTGCAGACAAGTCCTTTTTTTCAGGTTATTCTCCTGTCTGTTGTTTTGACTTTCCGCTTCCATGCAGCTCAACTCTTGCAGCAGCACAAGCCTGAACTGCCAAGAAGGTTTTGACTCATCTGTTTTTGTATTTTATTTCAGAAGCCAACAGACTCCCTGACTGGGAACCATGTCGGTCAAACTCACCTTTGTGTCCCCTGGTGATGGGGGTGGGATCAGCAGGAGCTGCTCCTTCACTGGGTTCAGCACTGTGCAAAGCAGAAAACTGGCGTAAGTAACATCCACAGCAAAGCACCTGATCCTTTGGGCAGCAGGCTGGGAATGGAGTTCTTAACCTAAGGCAGCTATGAGGAGATGTCATTCCTTAATTTTCATCTTAAAACTACTGAGTGTTGTCATGGTTCACTGATGAAGAGCTGTACTTCACCCCAGACTGTCTTACTGCTCTGCACACTGCACTGCAGGGATGGTTGGATTACAGAGGTGATGGATCAGACTCTTAATAGTGTCCATTTCTTCTGAAAAAATGAAGGGCTGCAACCCTTCCTGCTAGCAGCCAAATAATGACTGATGTATTCTGACTAAAACCTTCTCAGTAGTTATGGTAATCAGAAGTCTCCCAGACCTTTAAAAAGATGGGGATGCTAATGGTGAATCCTGGCAATATCTGTCACTGGAGCTGGCTCAGATCCTGCTGAGTTACTGAAGCAGAGCAGCATTTCATGAGAGGAAGGGCTGTGTTCTGGCAGTGCCACAAGGGAGAGGAAGGGAGGAATCAAACAGGCCAGGAGGCCACTGCAAACCCACTGCTCTCAGTAACAGTCCATAATCCAGCCAAGGCTGAGCCCAGCCTTCAGATGGGCTCTATAATTGCTAAACCATCCTGCACTGATCTTCTCATTTTGCTTTTCACAAGCTGTTGGGCAGCATTGCTCTGTGTAGGTAACTGCAGCTTTTCCACTAGAAGTGCTTTTTCTGAATTCAGCAATCCTGTAAAGCCTGTTGAGTGCTTTTAGCAGATATGATACATAAATGTAAAATTAATATGACTGCCAGTGCATGCTAAAATAATACCAAAGGGAATCATTTAGCAGTATCATACAGAAGTGTTGGGAAATATGCCCCTAGGAATATTGTGCTCAGAAAAATCCTGTTATGTATCAGGAAAATACCTGACTCATGTAATGAAATATCTTACCAAAGAACCAAATGACTGAATCAGACTTTTAGTTAAACACAGCTTAGTAAAGTAGGAGCAAAAAATGAAATCTCAGCATGATTGTGATGCCATCAAGAATTCTTTAATTTGAATTAACTGATTTGTTGTGGAAACTGAAAATTAATATTACCCCAAGCAAAGATCAGACATCTAAAATCACACCAATCACTAAGATCTGGAGAAAAACTCTGTCAAATGATATAAACAGACTTGAGCTTAGGTGCAGAGTGGGAGTTCTAGCAGGGAAAGGCTCTACCAGGAGCAGTGTTGAACAGCTGTGTCTGCAGCAGGGGTATGAGTGCTCCAGACAGAGGAGTTCATCTGTCCCTTCAGGTTATCCTGTTACTTCTTGCTGCAAAGGTTTTCTAACCAAATGCCTCTCTTTATGCATTTTTAAGATGTTGCTTTTCATTGTGTAAGTGTTTAGACAGACAGTTTTGTTCAGGAATCACTGCAATAAGGAAGATTTGTGTAGTAGACACTCAGTCACAGCCCAGTGAACATGAGAGCTTTCCCCAGCATTTTTTAATCACCCTTTCCTAACTTATCTCTCCCTCAGGCACTGTTGCAAAACACAGCAGGAGCTTGCAGGGGCCCTGTGCAAGGTCTGTCCAAAGGATGACACACAAATCAGGTCCACATGGACATTCTTAAGCAGATGCTAAATATACTTTTGCTTTCCTTTAGCAACTTCCTTTTGAGCCTCTCAGTCAGACACACGACTTCGTGTTTCTCCACAATGGGTTCCACAGGAAGTAAATATTATTACTGTTATCCATAAAGTGGGAAATCTGATACTGAAATTATGAAGTTCACAAGGGAAAGCAGCAACACAGCATCCAGCTTTTAGCTACTGGGCCCTGCAGGCCCACATCAGCCACTGAGCTTTTGTATGAAATGTGTGAAAATGAGATTCTTACATCAGTGCTCCTATGGGCTACAGCAGTCAGTGGGAGATGCTGAGGAAAAGGGGGAGTTTGAAATCCCAACCTCTCTGGATGCAGTACTTAGATGCTGTACTTCCAACTGAAGGGAAATGATTTCCTGAATTTAGGATCTGCACTCCCAAAATCTGAAGGTAAATTTCAAAGTCCTTTACTTTCCAAAATGAAACAAAACCCAGTAGTAATTTGGTCTGTTTAATTTCAAAATACAGAAATTATCTGTTCTATATAGTATCTTGCTAATGAAAGTACTCTAACTCATGGAATGAGACACTATTTCTTATTAGCATGAAAAGATTTTAAGTGATGAGCCTTCTAGGAGACTCTTTCAACTGCTGTTCTTGGCTAGACTGTCCCTTCCAGTGTTATTCCTGCTGGAACCCTCTCACTTTGCATGGAATACTCAAAGATTCATTATCTTAATAAAGAAAAGTAATATTAATGTAAGTTTCTAATTTAAGAGTTGTGTTCCTTGTTATAGGTAACCTGAGCTCCAGATGGTTTGGTTAATTAACACTTTACATTAAGCCATCATAAAAAATTAAGATAGTCATTGTAGTGAAGAAATCAAATATCCAGTAAAGTTTGGCAACACCTAATTTATCAGATTTTTTGCAGAACATATGTTAAAAAATGGAGTCAAGTGGAAATTTAGGATGAGGATAATTAAAGTAGTTACTCAAGTGTTTCTATAATAGGAGCAGGGACAGCTCTCAGGTGTGTTGGGTTTGGGCTTTAATCACCAAGCTCAATAATCTCCTTAGGCCTCCAGTCACATGCCTGGAACTTAAACCAGCCAGTGGTTAAGTTTTAAGCCTTTTAAAGTTGGTAATTTCTCCAGGTGAGCTGAATTTAGGATAGAGATTAGAGAGAAGGAAGAAAGCTTCTCTGAGAGCCACCAGTTGGTTTGGTTTGCTTTGGAAGATTGGGGAAGTTTGACTTACAGGCATTATTAACAAAACTGTATAAAAATAGCCAAGACTTAGAGGAGCGTATAGATAGAGGTAAACCAGGCAGGAATCATCTGCAGAGAGCTCCTTTTCTGGTTTAAATGATGTAAATATATATATAAGTAATGGTTCAGAGTGTTCTCACTCTGTAGCTTGGCACAAAAAATCCTGTGTGGGACTTCTCTTAGAAACAATATTTCATTTTGGTTTTGTAGTTCCTTTTAAAAGTAATTAAGTGAGGTGTTAGATGCTGAAAATACACCATGATGATTCTATCTTGTATGCAATCTAGGCTGGGTAGTTTGCTTTTTAAAACCGTGGTGGGGCTCTGAGCCATGGTTTAAATGGATGGAGTGCAGGCAGAGGAATGGCTGTTGCTAAGGGTTTTTATGTGAGCTTGATCAGTCAGACCTTGAGCAGTTGCCAGCAGTGTGAACTTTCTGATGTCACCTGTGAAAGTATTCCTGGTGTGTCCAAGAGCTTTGTTCTTTGAGTAAATGTCTATGGAGCTGGACATACAACTTGCAGCCTGGAAGCTTTGTGGGTTAGGCATCTCCCTTCTCCCAGGTGATGGGGTTTGCATCTTCCCTGTATTTCTTTTCTCTTTCTACAGCAAGTCTCTCAGCAGAAGCTCAGTGAGATCAAGGATGTCTCTGAAACCCCCCAAGGCTTATAATTCCCTGCAGAAGGGGGCACTGATCTGGGATCCAAAGCCACTGCAGGTGAAGAAAATTTTTGAAGCTTTGAAGAAAGGACTTAAGTAAGGACTTTTTAAATATTGCAATTTGCCTCACCTCGTCATGCTGCTTAAGTCTGTCTGTCACTGTGCTCTGTCTCCATCTGGCATCTCTAAACATGTGTGGTGGCTTCCCCAGACACTGACTGGGGACCTTGTAAAACAAGTTTCATTCACTCTCAGTCTGCTTGCAAGCGAAGTGCTCTGATGTTTTTGTTTTCCCCAGGGACAGGTAGAACTCAGTGGGGAGATTGTCCATCTCCTGGGGAGCAGCTGAGCTCCTGTGAGGAAGGGAGGCTTTCAGAGCATGCAGGGTGGCAGGGCAGGGATGGGACAGCCAGGCCTGGGCAGTGCTTGGCAGAAAGTTTCTGGAGAGGGAAGTGTGTGGAGTTTGCTTTGACTCAAAAAGCTGAATTAAAATCGAGTGCAAGTGAGGGTGTGCCCTGCAAGGACACAGTGGGGAGGCTGGTTCCTCAACCATTTCTGTTGTCCCTATACTAATAAGGGAGCACTTGCACAATTAGCTATTCTAGGAGGGGTGGAGGTGTCAGGGTGGTATTTTGTTTCTTTTTTTCACCCTCTTTAATGGAATTATAGTCTGAAGTTCGAAAGTCATCTCTGGGTGTCTTGTAAGGGAAGTCTAAGCAGGTACACCTGAAAATTTCAGCTGTGTCAAGGTGATGAAGCAGAGCTGTAGTACAGCTCCATCTCCTTATGGAAATGTAAATAACATTACTTTGCTGTAAATGTGGCATTATTTCAGAGCCTTTATCAGGGTGGACTGCACAGCCACTGCTGCATCAGGGCAGACTGGAGTGTAAAGGCAAGAAACCAGTCGTGCTCATTGGCTCTGGCTGGCTGGCGTGGGGTGTTTGCAGCAGACAATGGGGACCAAAGGGTGGGCTGGGAGCCTGAATTCAGGGTCCTGTGGCTTTGGGGAAGGTGGCAGTTCCCTCAGAGAACACTGATATTATTCAGTGCTGAATGGGCAAACAGGCCATGGGTGAGCAGAGACAGCCCACAAGGGCTGTGCCTCCCTGGGTGACCGACACTGCTCTGCCTTCAACCGAGTCCCCAGGTCTTGTAACGCAAAAATGCACATCTTAAAGCATTACAGTTGATGTTGAAGGGTCCATCTGTTATCACAGAGCTTCAATTACACCCTGCAGCTCCTATCAGAAGATAAAATACCTTTTCTTGGATGTGTAAACCCTGTAGCTCTTTCTGCTGGCATCCTACTAACAGTTCCTTCACGTGTGTTGCTGCTGTCCCCAAAATTTTGCTACTGTGTTAATTTTGGTCAGAGTTTGTTTTCTTAAGCAAAGAACATAAAATGCACTGTAATAATACATTGTAAAGTCAGATGTGTCACATTTTTAGTCCAGTAAAAGACTATGAAGTCTTAGCCCTAAAAATATCCACCGACGTCTTATTAGAGGATTTAGATTTAAAAGAAACTATGAAACCAAATGTTTTTGCAGAGTTTAGAATTTATCAGAGCTTAGGGAGGAGAAACCATAAAGTGGATCAGAATTTGTTCCCAGTTTTGCAGTGAATACCATAGGATCAGCCTCCTGCCAAAACTGAGTAACAACTAATTGACTGAAGTAACCTACAGAAAACAACTGTATCAAATAGCAATGCAAGGTCCAAATTTTAAGTAGATGCAGACAAAGTCCACTTGGTGCTGGAGTGACTTGGATTTTTAGTGCAGAACATGTTTTTACATGCCTGTTTCTTTATAGCTATAGAAAATAACTCTTTATTCTGTTAACCATCTGGGTGCCATTCCATCAGGCTGGTAATTCCAACATACTTAAATCTAAAAGTGATGAAGCTTTTCTGAAAGGTAAGTGAACACTCTTCTGTCACCAGCCTTGGCTACTTCTGCACTGAGCTGTCAATGGGCAAGTGTTAAGGGCAGGCAGCTGAATGCTGGAGACATGGGGTGTCTTGGGGGAACTGGTTTTGAAACAGTAAGAAAATGAAATGCATCAAAGCAAATGTGAGTAAGTGCAGCTGTCTAAAATGGGGTTATTTTGACTGCTCAGAGCCTGTGTCTAATAATGTAGCCTTTACTGGGTGACTCTTGCTCCCTCTTAAACGTAAGAGGAAAAAGTTACCTAAGTCTGCTCTGTATTAAAAGCAAAGTTGGAAGACGATGGTCTCAGCAGAAAAAGTTTAAGGCCCTGTGGAAACTCCTAAGGCACAACCCATGTGTGCAAGCAACTCTGTAGAAGCCAACTGGCACCAAGTGCTTCACACCTTGCAAAATAGGTCTTGTTCTGGAAAAAGTAATGGTTGCATCAAGGAATTGTCTCAATGTGGTATTGAGCTCTGTTTGCTAAAACGCTGATGGCATCTGCCTTTCCTTACCTGGGCAGCACTTCTGTGAGCTTGGGTTTGTAGGGCAAGTGTTCCATATTGCAATTCTCTGTAAGATGGGGTTGGTTCTTTCTCCTCAGTAACTGCAGGAGAGACTTTCTCAACAAATGAACTGACAGGAAAGGTTCAGGTAGGAATAGTCAGAGAAATCTGAAAAGATCTGTGAGTTGGTTTATGTGTTAGAACTTGCTATTCTCCTAATCCCTCCTTTCTTCTTGCCTTTAGTAGTACTACCAGCTCTACTGTCTGTTTTGTTTTGCCTCAAGTTCTAGGATAAAGCCCATCTTTCATTTGAATGATTTATTTTAAATGAAGGGAAACAAGAACCTGTGAAGGTTTGAGTGCAGTGTGTATGTGTATATGCTGTGTACACTCATGCAGCAATGCTGGCCTTGCATTGCACTGCACCATTCCACAGCTTGTCAGAGGAAAAAGGAGTCAGGAGGATTCCTAATGTAAAGCATCTTTAAATTTTGGGTGACAGTAACCATCTTCTGGTACTTGTGGGGTACAGATGTTCCTCTAGGGTCAGCTTGGCATTCAGAACAAGTATTTGTCTATGGAAACCAGCCTTTGTCATCTCTTGGCCCATGTCCCTGTAGCCATTCACATCTCAAGAGAGTAAAACAAGGGAAGTCTTCTGGAGAAGGAAGTTGCTTCATAACATTCTGCTGAAAACACCTACCCAAAGAATTTCTAATGAATTTCTAATGAATAATTTCTAATGAATTTCTCTACAGAGGAATCTAACAGTGGGTTTTCTTTCTCTCCAGTGAATACCTGGAAGCACATCAGGCTGAATTAGATTATCTCTCTGGTCGACACAAAGACACAAAAAGGAACTCCAGATTGGTAAGATTTTTTTAATGTCAAATATTTAAATAAAGTCACAAAAGTAGATGCTCTCTCCCACCTGGGACTCCCAGGAGTTTTCCAGTTAAAATGCTGAGGTGGGATCCAGTGAGGCATCACAATCAGCAATTTCCCAAGGAAGGTAGCCCTAGATGTGAGAATTTAACTGGAGATTTCTCACTTTCAACATCCAGCAGTGTTTTTCAGATCCTGTTTCTTTACTGGGATGATATCTCCTTGTGTCTGCTCAGTGGTCAATGTTTTAAATCTCAATTTAGTGCAATTTAAGATAGTGAGTCTTGCAGTACATATGAAAGTATCATTAATAGGTACAAATACACGTGCTCTCCTCTTCAGCCTCTGCCATTTCTCTTTCAGGCTTTCTACTATGACCTGGACAAGGTGAGCCTATGGGGGATGAAATGCTGCAAATAGAGAAAAATGGATGATGTGTCTGCTGTGTAACTTACAGATATGTTTAGGAAATAATTTCTCAAGTCCCCTTCTCTCTCTGTCTCCCCTCTTCAAAAGCAAATCCGCTCTGTGGAGAGATACATCAGAAAGCTGGAATTTCACATAAGCAAGGTAAGGGGGTTCATACCTTGTACCTGTCAGGTTCACACTGCTTTGTAAGTGACTTAGCTAAATGGAAACCACTTTAATTATAATTCTTCTGAAGGGGAATGATGCTGGGGACTCTCTGAAAGCTGTAGCCACTCTTTGTACCGAAGGAGGGGATTTTTATTTATTTATTTTCCTGAATGGTTCTATTCAGGCTGAATGTTGGGCGCGACCCAACCTGAGTTTTCCTGTGAAACCAGTTTGGACACTCTGCCAGTTTATTCAGAAAATGTTGCTCTGGGAACACTGACATGTTCTTCCCTCCCCTTCTCACGAGGGGCCAAAGGGGCAGTTCTGTGGAGTTTGTGTCTGCTGTCTGCCAGCTGCTTCCAAAGGACTGGAACCTCTCCTCTGGCATAGCTAATGGTGGAGGGGGCTTAGTCTGTATTGAAGGAATTGGTTTCCTGCTCTGCAAGTAAATTTTTCATGAGAAAAGTGTTACTCCACTCCTTGTCTTCTACTTTGGTAATAGCAGAGCTAATTGTATTCCTGAAAAAAGCTTGGGATATTGAAAAGCAAACTGTAGCACTCTGTAAAGTGCAGGAGTTGCAGCACCCTGCAATGCCCTGACAGAGGGGTTTGGTTGTTTGTTTTTTTTTTTGCCAGGAAAGGTACTGATGTTCCTTTCCAAAACTTCTTAAAATTATGCCAAGGTAATTTTGGTTCCTTCTTTCCCCATCTTCCAAATCCTAAAGGTAGAAGAACTCTATGAAGCTTATTGTATCCAGTGCAGGCTGCGAGATGGGGCCACTAACATGAAACATGCCTTTTCCCTGTCCCCTTCCACCAAAGCCTCCAGAGAGAGTCTAGTGGAGCTTTACAAGAACTTCCAAGAGTGCACAGAGGTAGGAAATACCACATACTTGTAATGAAGACCTGACTTCTTAGCAAAAAATGTACTAGGACTTGCTAGTGGCTTTTTTTTTTGTTAACGGTGTGGGTTAAAAACCGTGTATAAAAAAATCTTTAATACTGAGGTCCATTATGACTTCCACTGGAAGCATGGGATGAGAATTGAAGGAGGAATAAGCTTTGCTATTTTCACAAAACAAGGAATGGAACATAACTGAGAGTGGTCAGCTGAAGCAGTTCTACTCTTCTGTGGAAGATTGTCTGTCTTAAAAGTAGTATGAATGGACTCTGCCTCCACTAGTGAAAATGTTTGTGTGTCCTTTAAAATAATAAAAGGGCCAAAGTTCTCTAAAGAAAATGGCCCATGTGGGAAGGTGCTACTCTGCACTGCTTTGCAGCTGTGATGACTGTGCAGCCTTTCTTGTAGGACATGTGCTTCATAGAGGGGGCCTTGGAGGTCCACTTGGGAGAGTTCCACGTGAAGATGAAAGGTAAGTTCCTTTCCTCTTTCCTTCAAGACTCATCAGTTGATTTTGTGGTCTAGGTAGCAATCTGATCCACTGAGAGTCCAGCTATTCAGTGCCAGTTGCTTCCACTGGCTTGCTGGATGATACCCTGAACAGAGTTCTGGCAAACTCCTGTTTGCTTCAGTGCTGTAAAACAGTTCTGCAGTGGTGCTGTCTATCTGAATACAAAAACTGACAAGCTTGCTTTCCTCAGCTCAATTAAATTTTGTCCTTTCAAGAGTGTCTGGGCTTGTGGTATAGCTTCTGCACAGAGCTGAGGAAAGGGAGGGTGTTGGCCAGAGAGCCACTTGATTTATTGCAATCTGAGGCTTTGGGGGGGCTTTGTAAAACTCTACAGGTATTAGGAGTTTTCCTTCTCTTTTCAGGGCTGGTGGGCTTTGCACGTCTCTGCCCGGGGGACCAGTATGAGGTGCAGTATAAAGCAATTAATTGTCCTTTACTTTCCTGGTGTGAGTTTGCAATAGAGGAACAGGACAGCAAGGGTGGAACATGCAGGATGAGAACAGTTTGTGATAAAAACCCCCACTGCTGTGATGGGAAAACAGTGCTTCGGCATATTCGGAAGTTACTGTGCCCTCTGGGCTGGGGAGGGAAAGGTGTGATTTGGGTGTTATGGGAGGGCTTCAAAGATGGCAGTGATTGTCTGTGAAACCCAACCTGTCAGGGCTTTGTCTTCAGATTAACCTGGAATCATGTAGCAGTGGCTGCCTGTTTCTTGGAAGGCTGCCCTTGGCATCATTTGAATGCACCTTAGTGTCTTACTGGGTGCTCTCCTACCTGTGACAGTTCCTAATGAATTCCAGTGTGCCTTGTATTCCAGTACCCCCACACTTGGAATGCAGTGTAGTTCTGCAGCTCTTCTAGAATGGGTGGGACGTGGCATTTGGCACTGCTTCAGGTGTTAAAACCTGCATCCTGAATTCCTGTCTCCAGTCTTCCAGCTTTATCCAAGTTCCCAAGTGCATGGTGATCAAGGGGATGGCTTCACTCCTGCCAGACTGGAACAGTGAGAGGCCTAGGGACTGAAGGGAATGTTCTGGGATATGCTGACCCGACATCCTTTGCTCTTTGTGGTTTCCAGGTGTTTGTGCGACTGGGGCGCCAGAAATGGAGGTTGAAAGGCAAGATCGAGACCGATGACAGCCAGACATGGGATGAGGAGGAGAAGATTTTTATACCCAATCTCCACGAGAAGTTTGAAATTAAGGTGTGGTGTATAATGGTTGGATTGGAATCAGTGGGTTAACACGTCTTCTGCCACTTACCTCTTACCTCTTAAGCTGCTGAGTGTTTCTGAAAGTTCTTAAATAGTTTTCTTTTTCTAGCCATGTAAAAATGGCAGTTAATCCATGTTCTGTCTAGTGAAGGGACATGTACTTCTGGTTTTCCTTTTCTTCTGGCACTTGTATTAGTGCATCTGCTTTCCCCTATTCTGGAGTCTGGTAGATGTGGTTGTGGTTTGGGTTTTTTGTTTGGTTGGGTTTTTTTAAAAAATGTCCAAGATCAATATCTGGGATTTTCTAGGATGAAGTCTAGATGTGGAGATTCAGATGTATATGTAGTAGCAATAGTTCTGTTCTCTACTGAAAGAGAGAAATTAATGTATAGAAAACATACCTTTGCACCTGTGTGTGTTTGGAGTGTGGGGTTCAAACCTCCCTTTATCCGGGTGCAGTGCAGCTGCTTTTGTTGTGTTTTACTGCAGAGATGCTCCATATCTGTGAAGAACCAATGGCATTTATGTGCTTCTGCAAACTGTCTGTACTTTAAATCTTTGTTTAGAGTTCTGACACTCTTTTAGAAATCCCTTGGAACAGGTCACATCTTTGGCAGTAAGGGACCAGTGCAGTGGCCTGTGAGCCGTAGGTGACACTGAGGGAAGTGTTCAGAGCCCCACGTGCAGCTGCCCCTGCATTGGTTCTGACACCTCCCTTGCAGGGGGAATTAATCCTTAAGCAGCATTTGCACTGTAACCTGGCAGCTCTAGTGGGCTGGACCCTGCAGTGTGACTCCTGTCAGCCTGAAGGGAGCTGAGACTGAAGGCTGTGCTGGATTCTGTCCTACTGGGAAACTGTGCCAGTGCAGGGTTTGGGGTTTTGGCAGTTGTGTTAAAGCAGCTATTGCAGTGTTCTCCTCCTATCTGGCAGCAAGAACTGGGTTACACAGGAGACAGTCTTTGGCATTTTGCCAGCACTGCCTTTGGAAATGTGCTTGTAACATGCTTTTTAACTGTCACTGCATAATGAAGATCAGGTGAGAAGCTAATTCAGATCCCTGTTTTCCCATAATAGTTGTTAAAACCTGTATTACTTTGTGTGACAATGATAGTTTTTTACTCTTTTTGTCAGCTTATGAAAATCTACTGATGAATGTCCTCCACAGCCTCCTGCTCTTTCCACTTTGTGCTTAATGATCTTTGCCCAGTGCAAATATATAGCAGGTTTAAAAAAACAGAGAAGAAAATTGATGAGTGCCAAAGAGTGTTCCAAGAGGAGCCCAGCAGCACGACTTCAGCTCTTAAAAGAGATGTAGGCATGGAACTAATTCCAAAGTGGACTTCAGGCACTTGTGCTAAAATTCTGTGCTGAGTCTGATGCTTCATGCACTTCTAGAACAATGTGATCTTCAGTTGGAAGTACGTTTTTATAGCAAATACTCAAGTTAGGTTGTTTTTTTTTTTTTTTAAAGTAGCTGAAAAAGACAAGTGCCAGCCTGGGAAAAACACAGGCCTGTGACTGCATTGGTAACAAACCTGGAGCCACCTGCAGAGCTGGAGGAAAGAATGACCCAAGTTCTGATTTTGATCCTGCTGAGCTCAGGACAGTTAGAGAGGTCACAGAGGATGCAGAGAGTTGTGTCTCCAGATCCTTTAGGCAACTGAGAGCTGAAATAGTCTGGTACTGAAATAGCTCCAGTACTAGAGCAAGAATTACAGACTAATTTTTCTTAAAATCATAGTCCCCCAAGTTCCCTTGTCTGAAGTGCTGTGCAGCTCTGGGTGTCCCCTTTGCCAGCCCCCTGGGAGCTGTTCCCTGTGGGGATATCAGCTCACAGCTGTTTAGGAGCCCAGAACTCAGTATCAGTGTTTTGTTTGTTATAGGCCTCAGAGCAGAGCTGAGCCTGGGGTGTTCTCCTTTCCATGCAGGTGACTGAGGATTGCCTGGTAGGATGAACTGGATGTGTTTGTCTGTCTCTGCAGGTGACAGAGCTGCGAGGACTGGCCACTATTCTGGTTGGTGTCGTGACATGCGACAGCATCAACTTCTTTACAACCAAGCCTCAGGCCATCATTGTGGACATCACTGAACTGGGCACCATCAAGCTGCAGCTGGAGGTCCTCTGGAAGTAAGTACAGCTTCCAATGGGAAAAGCTAGAAAACATTGGAAACGATCAAAGGCTCCTAAGTATGTCAGTGAGCAGCATTCACCCCCACAGTCCTCTCTCCATTCAAGGTGCAGGACAGATGACAGCCTTGTGCTTCCTCACAGCCATCCTGGCTGCTGGGCCTGATCTCTGTTGGACCAGTCCTCAGGAGGGCAGGGGAAAGGACACAAGCTGTTTCTATGACCTATCAGATCTTCCTTTGCTCTCACCAAAGCCATGGATAGCCATGGGAGCTGACTTAGCCTGACTTAGTGAGCCTTACTTAGCTCACCCCTCTTCACAGTGAGCATTCAGTCCAGCTCCAAGCAATTTATGTCCATCTATAAAATATGAAAAATAACTGAAGATGATGAAATGAAACTGGAAGTAGCAGCTTGTAGGCACAACAAAAAAAATACATAGCTGAAATTTTAGAACAATCACTCTGACCAGATCACAGTTTGTTATAAATGAAGCTTTCCCAAAAACTTGGCACCTTCATATTTGCACTGAGTAGTTATGGATACGAGGCCTGTTTGTGCACTACAGGGAAGCTTGGTTACAGATGTGCTTTTAAAAGAGCTGAGCATTGTCATGGTGCCTGTGATGTATTAAATTGTTTTATAATTTAAATCTGTAAGTTGATTATTGTAGTGGATTACTGATGTTATTAAAAGCAAATTCTCACTGTTGTGGATGCTGCAGTGGAACTTATTCCTCACTCCAGACTCACCAAGGTTTTTGAGGTAGTACTGTTGTTTCTGCTTTATGGGACTGTTGTTCCACACTGAAAGGACCATCTACAACAAATCAAGCCTTTTTAACCTGTTTCCATTTACTATTGTCCAGGGATTAAATGCAGCCCCTTAGTGAAGTGCCCAGTTAAACAGTGGGCACTGTTCTCTTGTACCTCTGTGTGTGGCTCACTGCAGTCCTTGATTCTTCCCAGCCCTCCATGGCCAAGAGGCCTTTGAACACACCTCTGTTATAAGGACTCTCTTGAAAGGCCACTTTGACCTGGGATCCAGGCTCTCTCCAGGAAAAGCAGAAACAGCTTTCAGGTTCCATTTCTGGGGCTGGGGAAAGAAAAGCTTTATTGATCAACACAGTTTTCTGAATGTCTCTTGTGCATGCTGTGGTTCTTGACATTTACTGCTGTCTTGTACCTGCAACTGGGCTGAAAAATGTGTCTTGCCCACAGCACCTGAAAATGATTTTCCAACACACAGATTGCTCAAAGTCAATGAGAAATAAACTCACCCAGCAGAGTTTGGCTGCACCCGTTTATGGTGCTTCTTCCTCTCGAGATCTGACAGTGGGCATCAGGATGTGGTTTGTTTTGGTGAGGTGCTCAGAAGAAATCACTTCTACTCTCTTGTTATTAACCCACACCGATGGCATCTGACAGTCCCTTCACTTACTGCTGCTGGATCTGCTCACTTCCTTTCCTCTCTGTCAGTAGCTTCTGTAATGAATTATGCACATAAGCTGTTCTTACAAAAGGACTGTATGAGGAAAGCCCCTCCCTATTCTGGGATATTGCATAGTTCCTCATAATAGCCTGAATCTCCACAGCAAATTACATTTGTGGCAGAACTTTCTGGAAAAGTCCAATCCCGACGCTGTTGACCCTCGATGGCTGTGGTGTCTGAGAGCTCCGAGTGCAGCTCTGGGCTGGCAAAAGCAGCAGGTCTGTGGTATTTGGGACAACCATCACAGCCTTTGGAGTTGGCAAGAGCTGAGCTGGGAGCAGGGTTTGTCGTGACTCATTTTCTTTGGGAGTTAATCCCCACTTGGAATTTCTCAGCGTGTGAGAAAACCCCGGCTGTGTGTCTCTGCTGTGTTTAAGTTTTGCGAAATGCGTTGGTGTCCCACCAAGTGGATTCTCCAGAGCACTTCTGTGCAGAGCTGGCCTCTCCTCTGGCAGCCTGCTTGCTGGAGTTCTTTACAGAAAAGAGAAGTTTTGTGGTGATAACTCAGGGTGTTTCTGTTTGCAAAGATAGAGCACTCAAAACAACAGCTGCTTTTCTCTTTGATTTGAGAATAACTAAACAAATCCATCTGATTTGCCCAAACTTCTCTGAGGCACAAGCTTTCAGTCTAGACCTGCTTTGTGAGGAATCCAAATGCAGATCTCTCTCTTCCGCTTCTCAATGTATATTTTCTTTTAAATAGGTCTCCAGTCTTCTGGGCTCAAACAAAAGTGCCTTCAGCTCCTTTATAGATCATGCCATGAGGAGTGTGAATGAACTTGGGGCCGTTGCAGAACAGCTTTGTTGGCCAGTTTGGCAAAAGGCTTTGGGTTTTTTGCCAACCTAAACAGCAGTCTGAATTCTGTGTCTCACATGCAGGACAAAGAGAAAGCTGTATTCTCCTTTCAGAACTTCAGCAGCACCCTGTGCTGGGATCCAAGGGCACCATCCAGTCAGAACTGCTCTGGTGACTCTGCCTGCTTTGGGCTGTGCTGGGCTGGCTCACAGGGCTTCCTGGAGTGAGAGAAAACCTGAAGGGAGAATAAAAAAGGAAAGTCTGGTTTCTATTTTTGGATGCTGCCAGTCCTGATCTTATAGGTGAAAACTTAGGTGAATATGTAGGTACTCCTGCAGTATCTTCAGGCACTATCCATCAGTGCATCCCTGTGCACTCATAGCCTGGGGCTGTGACAAGCTGTACTAACCTGGAAAATGTGCTTGCTGTGCTTTAAGGGGTAGGAGAAACACCTACTAACAACCTTCTCACTGTTAAATTGCATGGGCATGTTCACCTGGGTTTGATGGTGGCAAGAGAAATCTCATGATTAATAGTGAGTCCAGTCAGTTGACTAGAATTGGCTTTTTTTTTGTATTAATGTAAGTCTGGATTCACAGGCTGAACACTGGGATTCAGGCAGGTCTGTCCACCAAGAGCACTTCTGGTCTGGTGGTATTTAATTCATGGACAGAAAGGGAGTGCTTAGGGCACACTGGGAGAAAGGAAGGCAGATCCTCTGAGGGCATAAACCAGGCAGTGTCCTCCTTACTCACCCAACAGAAAGTGCAGCAGGGGGAGGTAAATTATAGAAATCTCAAGTATTCCATCGCTCCACAGGTTTGGTGGGTGTGACAAAGTAACATCTCCCTGGGAATTCATGCTCAGGGCTGGCAGAGCTCAGGTGGGCCACTTTGATTTTTTTTTTTCTAATAGAATTTTTAAGCCTTGAGAAGGTGCCTATGGATAATCCTGTGCAGGCACATCAATGTGGACAGGATATGATTAGCCACAGACACCTCTCACCCCCTACAGCAAGTACTTGCTCCACAATTTAAAGTTAAATAATGACATTTCTGCACACTTTTTACCTACACAGAGGTTTTGTGTCAATGATTTCAGGAAAGCCACTAGACAAACTAAGGAAAAACCAGTGACAATTAAAGGCAATAGTCTGTTTGCAAAGTCTGGTGCATGACAGATCTCAGCCATGGATTGCCTCAAACCTGGGCATGTGTCTGGGGAAAGCCCACTCTATTTGACTCATTTCCTGTGTTTTCCCCTGGAATATCCCCTACTGGATTCTGTCAGTGTCAAAATGCTGGGAGAGATGGATTCGTAGATCTGTCCCAGTCTGATGGTTTGTTTGCTGTAGAAATGTGGAAGGAGATGATGGATCATGCCCAAAAAGCTTAGAGCCAAGAGATAATAGAAGCTTTAGAGCAGAGTCCATTCTTTCTTTTCCCTCTGCTCTCAGCTGTTCCTTGCAGGGACTGGGAGTGTGTCCTTGTCTGGAGGCAGCTGAAGAGCTGCATTTTGCTGGAGGATTCCAGGAATTGTCCAAGGGGCAAAACAGATTCAGTTTGTTGTTGTTGTTCCTTTCCCAGAAGTGTCATTTTGCATTACTGCAGTGCTATATTAAAAGCTAAAAGTGAAAAATGTGAGGAATGGATCCCTGTGACTTTTTCTAAGAAATGCCACGGGCAGGAGTAATTTGCTTTCATCAGCAAACACAGCAGGCTTTGGGGAAAAGGCTCTGGCTGTCAGAAACCCGATTTATTTCTGTCCAGTGAGTCAATGCAGGTGGTGGTGGTTGGGACTCCGTGGAACTGGGCTGTGTGATGGACCCCAGCTGGGTGACACTGGTTAATTCAGCCAATTAACCTGTGCTAGGGGAGCTCAGAGTGTCACCTCTGTGCTGAGGAGCTGCACTGCAGGGTGCAAGGGAGAACTGTCCCTGTGCAACACGAGCAGCTGGAGAGACTTGGAGCTCTGCTTTTCAACTTTTGCCAGAGAGCAGAAGTTCTTTTCCCTGCAATTGATTAGTCCTCGTTCCCTTTTGGATCTCCTGCAAGGTACAGCTGAATGCAGCTGACTTTATCCTGCTGTTTGGTCGTCATGTTCCTATCACTGATGTTACAGATTTGTGGTGAACAGTTCACTTTTTTCCAAATGCCAGTCCTTAAGTGGAAAAACAAACTTTCTTTTGGTGCCACAAGGCATATCAGTGGGGAACAAAAGTAACACGTAGGAAAAACAAACTCGCTTTGCTGAACTTGAAATATGTTTTCCCTCTCTTGGGTAGCTGAGTTGCATTTGGGGAGACAGTTTGTCCGAGTTTCCTTAAACTGGTTTGCTGAGGAGTTGGGAAATTAATGGCTGGGATGCAGAAGGTAATTGGGAACTCTTCAGAGCAGGATTTGTCAAGGTCTTGCAGCCCACAGCCAGCACCCTCTGGGGCTGTAAGTGGCTTCATCCGTGCCTGTGTGACCCACAGAACTGCCCTGTAGCCCTGCACAGCTTCCTCTGCCAGCCAGTCATTTATTAGTAAGTGAAGGATAATGAGGGGGTTTATTGGCTTTTCCAGGTGCTGTGTGCTCTGCAGGAGGGAAATTGGCAGTTTTCCTTTATTACATGTGCTCTGTTTCCTTCCTGCCTGGAGTGGTGCCTGTCCCACTGTGCCCAGTGCCTGTCACACACAGGCTGTGCTGGATGGGCAGCAGGGCCTGTGCAGGCTCTGCAGGAGGACAGGGAGCACTTCAGCCTCTTGGAACACTGGACTCTTCCAAAAACTCTGGCACAGGTCTCTGTCTAAAGGGTGTTGAGAATTCTGGGTAAAATACCTTCTTGCCTACCTCTTTCTCTGCTGGAGCAATCAAAGATACTGGTCAGAGGGGCAGTTTCTGTTTCCTTTTATTCCCTGTGGCGTTGACTGAATGTCACAGTTCAAATCCTCCTAGCTGTTCCTGCAGCTGAACACCTCTGTACTCTCTGCTCTCACTGACACTTTGGCCTTTGTTTTCTGCTGCAGCCCCTTTGACACAGAGAACCTGTTTTTGTCACCTGGAAGCACTGCCAAGTTTTCTGTGGGTAGCAGGAAGAGCTCGTTATACAACTGGACCCCCCCAAACACCCCCAGCTTCAGAGAGAAATACTACCTGGTGAGTACCTGAGGAAAGCAAGATGCAAAGGACAGACCTAGGGCTTGATTTTGGGTTAGATTAGACTGTTCAGGAGCACTCTCAGAAGTGTGAAAGCATAGCACTCTGGGCCTTTGCAGCCTGGGGCTTTGTTATGTCTTCTTTTAACCCCCATTCATTTAACCCAGAAACAGGTTTTCAGCTGCCTTAGTAACTCTCACCAGAAAGATCAACCACGCAGTTACTGCTGCTCCTCTGTTCATCCAGGGGCTCTTAGAAATTGGTTTCAGTAGTTTTTTGTCCAGTCCATGCTGGCCTGGCCCCACGTGCAGAAGAGCCCTGTGCTTTGATGGATTTGGGTGCATGTTTCCAACAACAAGAATCAGAGTTGTATCTCTTGGGTGGGATCTCAGGCTTCCCAGTTGTGTCCATACTCATTTATGGATCTCTTTGCTGCAGTCTCTTTTGCAGCTGAGGCAGAACCAGGGGGATGTAAGTGATGAAGCCCAGCCCCCCAGCATTCTGAGCTACTTGGCTGCCTGTGATTTTGATGACCATGGGAGGAGCAAAGCTCACAATCCTGCGGAGACCAGTGAGGGAGACTCGTTCAGCTCTGAGGACCAGAAAGGGGCAGAATCCCGAAGTACAACTCCAGCTCTGGACCACAGGCCATTGGTGATTATTCAAGAGACTGGTGCAGAAGAGCACCAGCACCCTCTCCCAGATCACACAACTCTGGATATCCTGAAGAAGACTCCATGTGGGGATGGATTTCCAAGTAACCCCTCCAGTCTCCCGAATCGCCACAAGGGCAGGAGGGATTCTGTGAGCCAGCCCAGGACTCGGCGCCTGGCAGAGCAGGAGGACAGCAGCCAGAAAAGCTGGAATGCTGCAAGTGACCCGAGACTGGATGGACATACAAAGTCTGTTGACAAGACTCTCCAAGAAGTGTTGAATTTGCTGAAATCACACGATGTGGGGCAAGCCCAGCTGGAGAAATTGGAATACCAGGTTTCGTCTCTGAGGGATAAATTAAAGGTATGGGAATGTTTTACCCTTGGGACATGGTGCAGATTCCTCTGTTACCCCTAAATCTGAAGACGTTCTGTGACCCTGAGGCTGATTTCATTTAATGATGCAGCAGTGGCACGTTCCCAAAAGGAGTTTGGCCACCAGAGGTCAGGCAGGACTCGGGAAAGGCAGCTCCCAGTGCTGGGCACAGAGCAACGGCTGGGAAAGGAATAACCAACGCAGTCCAACTGGAAACCAGTCTGGGCTAAGCTGAGCCTGAACTATGTCAGAGCCTCAGCATTTGGGTTTGCTTCTAATCTTTCTTGATATTTTTAAAATTTGGTATAGCTCGAGGTGACTGCATCAGTTCATCAAGCTGATATGCTAAGAATGAAATCAGAAAAGCAAATTAATTTATTATTAAGAATGATTTCAAAACCAGCAAAGAACTCCTGCAAAATGGCTTGATACTACAAATAACAGCATTTTTCCTTCCACCCCATCAACAGCAAAAGACACTTCATCACAAACACTCATCTATGGAGAGTTTAATGGTGGAGACAGTCCTGGAAAGCTTTGACTTCCTAAACGCTGACTGCAGTGCTGATGAGCTCTCGCTGTTTGGGAGCATCAGGACAGCCAGTGTCAGGTATGTGCTGTGGGGACAGGGCTGAGGGGGAACACCTGGCTCAGTAACAGCTGTGCAGAGCTGCTGCTGGTGTGAACACCCAGCACAGAAACGTGTCCTCATGTTTTTAAGAAGGTTATAAATGCAATTTAAAAAATTGCTGTTGTGTTTGGTGCCACCTGGTTTGTAGTTTGGCAACTTTCTTGAAGGCTCCCGTTGAGACTGCACATCTTCAGTTTTATTTAGTGATGAGAGTTCTAACTCCTTTTTCCCCTCATCTCAACAGCACATACAATGAGAACACACTGAAGTCCCTGAGCTGTGACACGAGACCAGAAACTCAAGATGTCACTACTGGTGATGACAACTTAGACACGCTGTTGATAACTCACCTGAAGCTGTGCAAAGGTCTTCTGCAGGTACAGAGCAGCCTGGGGGTTCCCAGGGCACTGGATGTCATTGTTGATTCTGATTATGGACAGAAGGGATTATGTAGCTGTTTTATAAAAGCAGAAAGACTCAAAATGGAAACAGAGTCCAAAAACTGCAGCATCTTCGTGTATCTACACAGAACATGTCATATAAAACTCTGCTGCCTTTCTTCAGCCTCTGGGTTTTGCTGGAGCTCTAATTAGTACTTTGTGCCCTAAGCAGGCTGTAAATGCAATCAGACAGGTTTGGCTCTAAATGTGCAAGGGGTGATCAATTTTTGAATGAATGAAAAACTGATACTACCAGTAGTATATGCTGTGATGGCAGAGGGGCCTTCTCAGAGCAGCTGATGTTTTCTCACTGCTCTTAGAAGTTTGATTCCAAGAAACAAATCCTGGTTTACCTTGAGCTTTATACTGCCCTTGTTTCAGCTGCTGAGATACATATGTTGCATTTCAGAAACTGAGGTCACCAAACATAGCCCAGGTTGTCCAGGAGAGCATTTTGGAAGAAGTATCTGAGCAGACCCAAGTGCTGGGGGATGTCCTGGATATGTCTGTTGAAGAAAGTGAGTAGCTGCATTATTTCCAAGGCATGCCAGAGATGGGAGAGGTGCACCCCTGATGTGCCTGCTCCAGCTTCCCCAGACACATCAGTGTTTCATTCTAAATTCCTTGCAAACATAATTAAACCAGCTCTTGTATCTGAATTCTTAGAGAAAACAGGGCTCATGGTTTGCTTTGGATTTTTCTGCAAGGAAGGAAAAGATTTGGAGAAATTTGTCTCGAAGAGTAGCTGAACTGGTATGTTTTAAACAGGGATGTTGTAGATGATGGAGTTTGCAGTCAAAGAACAGCAGAGCAGCCTTAGTAAAATCCTCTTTTATCTGTCCTTTTACTTGGTAAGCAAACAGCCCAAATTCTGTGCCCATCTGCAAGAACAGTTGGGCAATTCTTCCCACCTCAGGCCTTCCCAATACTAAACTCCTCTATACACTGTTGACAAAATGATAAAGCACAATGGGAGGCTTGGAAGGCTTTTGTTCTCATCTTGGTGAATACAGCATCAAGAATGCAAATTTTAGTTGGAAGCATTTGCTGACAGGTTTTATCCTGGAGGATGTGAGAATAACCTGTTCCCCAGAGCAGAGCTCCAAAGGGCCTTTGGTACAGTGTGACAGGGGAAGTGTGGGAGTGTTAAATGCAGGAGCTCAATCTCTCTGTAGGGAAGAGCAAGGCATGAAGGGTCCAAAGGGTAGTGAGAAACCACAGGTTCACTTCAAGTGAAGTGTTTGATAAGAGAGAGCCCCGAGGAAGGAACATGAGGCAGGGTCTCTAAAACCTGGCAGTGGCACATCTTTGGGCAGCCAGTTAAACTCACAGAAAGTTCTTCTGGAGCTGGACTCACATGCCAGGACAAAATGAACAATAAGGGGCAGAAGAGCTGCTGATGACAGTTTAGGAGCTCAGCCTAAGCTTGGTGAGATCAGTGCTTGCAGGTTTTAGCGTTTTGGCAGGAAATGCCCCATTTTGAACAAAACCATCTCTAACACAAATACAAGTTAACGCTGACCCATGTCTAGATAATCCATCTGGTGCCTAATTTCTCATGTAAAAATCCAAAATCTGCTGGAGCTCACAGACTTCTTCAAATGTGGGGTTTCAGTTATTCAGAAGACTAAGAAGAAGAAGCACTATCTGAAGATGTGGAGTGACCTTGCAGAGCCTGGCAGCATCTTGTTGGCTTCAGCAGAAAGGTTCCGTCACGCCCTGAAATACACGATGATGCTCAGAGTGAAGGAGAAGTACCCCAGGCAGCTGGAAGCAGGTACCACTGGAGCACAAGGCCACTCAGACTGCATTTGGCTGCAGTGCTAAAGATTGTCCCTGTGCATTTAAAAAACCCCTAAACCTCTTGCTTGTTCTCAGCAGCTTCCCACAAACTAACCTGCTGTTTTCTCGTTTGTCCTTGTCCGTGTTCCTTCTTCCAGTGCTGCAGAGGCTGCTGGAGCAGATCCTCACCTGTGATGGGTTGCTCCCCACTCCGAACCTCCAAACAGAACCAGTTACTTTATTCCAGTTTTATAGCTACCTGGACAAGCACCACATTGCCAGCCTGGAGAAACACTTGGGAAAACTTGCCAAGGAAGGTAATGGCAGTGCTTGGCTCCTCCTTTAGGGCTACCCTCCAGGTTCCCACTCAAGATACAATTCCAGAGCAGGAAACAACCAAACCAGTGCACTGACAACTTGCTTCCATTTTAATTGCCCTTATGACCATGTAATTTTAATCAGAACAGGAAAGATGTGCTTGACTCCCATATCTGGCCATGTACAAACAAACCAGGTGTGAAGGATGGGTTTATCTTAAGTGCCCTGAAAAGTGGGTTCTGGGATATTCTGAAGTTAAAGTAGAAGCAAAGTCAAGAGGAATCTACAGCTGGATCCAAGGACTGAGTAAAGTCTGGGGCTTTGGGTGTCTATTGCAGCTGGAATCAGACACAGAAAATAGCAATAAAATTGCAGAGGTTACTAACGTGCATTTTCTAGCCTGAGGTAGCCAGAGCCTCACTGGAGTCTTGTCCAACATGTGAAAGTACTTGAAAACCTACTCTGTGTTAGAAAAGAATTATTTTAAAAATAGTCTTTATATTGGCTGCATCTTTAGGCTTATGTTGATGCAGATGACTCATCTGGAGAGGGGCTAAAACTTGAGCATTCCTAGTCAGTGAAAAAGACCTGGAATATTCTTCAAATTGAAAGGGTAAATCCAGTGCCTGATTTCTTAGTTTTTAAAAGAGAGAGGGTTTTTTTGTCCTGTACAGTGAGATCTTCCAGGGCTGTTTACGGGTATTTTGCTTGATCCTGTTCCTTGTTGTGGGCTGGGCTCTTGTCCCGATGCCCAGGGCTGTGGGACCTGCTCTGGGTGTTGTCCTGGATGCACCCGGGGCTGGCACAGATCGGCTGCTCTGCCGTCCCAGCCTGGGCACGGGAGGAAATGGAACAATGGCAGGGAGAGAAGACAGGATGGGCAAAGGGGCAGCTGTCCCGGTTTGCTTCCTGCCACCCTTGGCTTCCTCGCCGGCCCTGGGAATAACTGCTTGTGGCTAAAGGGGACCGGGCCAGGGAGGAGTTCCTTGCAAATGTCTTGGTTTGCGGGTGAGTGAAGCCGAGCACTTCCCTCGCAGTGATGCTGATCGAGGAGCTGCAGTGCCCCGGGAGGCTGAAGACGCTGAAGAAGCTGAAGGGGAAGCGGCTGAACAAGCTGCAGCCGCTCCCGCAGACGCTGCGGCTGCTCGGGGAGCTGCAGCTGGACGAGAACCACCGAGTGAGCAAAGCGGCCACGTCCTGCCTGTGCCGCGCCGCCGCCAGCAGGAGCCTCAGGGCCAAGGTAAGCGCTGCAGCTCCCCTGGCCTTGCCGGGCTGCTGAGACCCATGGGATGGTTTCAGCCCGGAATGGCTCCCTCTGCCCTTGGCTTAGCTGTGAACTGGCCCCTAAACCACAGCAGTGCTCGGGTGATTTGTCTCTGTCCTGGTTTTGACTTTCAGATGGGCAGAGCTGCTCCTGTCAGTCTGCTTTGGCTGTTTGATTAACACTCAAGGTGTTCCTTTTACTTTCCTTTTTCCATTCAGGCTGTGTTGTTTTACACTGATGCTTTATCTGACTGTGATGCAAGACTTCAGCAAGCTGCATGTTTGGCTCTTAAGAACCTCAGGGTAAGTGTTCACAGCTCTGCTGGGCACATCTGGCCACAGTCATGGAAGCAGAAAAGTGTCTGACTGAGATTTTAAAGCTGGTAGGGTCACTTTAGCAGCTTTCTGCTGTTTGGAATTCCTGAATTCCTTGGCTGCCAAAGTTCCAAACCATTAATGCCGTTGTTCCAAAGGCAGCAGGAGAGGGAGCTGTGGGCATCTTGTTTGATGTGCCAGGCACAGCACAAGGACACAGGGGATGTGTTTGAACTCCTGTGATATCCAGTCACACAACAAGAAATCAGTCTTATTCTTAAACTCAATTTGCAAAGCAACAACTGGGATTAACCCTTTCAGTGACGTCCTGGTGGGTGATGCTGATTTAATGGTCCTGCAGCAGGGACCTGTACCCTGGGACTTTTACACTTTCTAAGGCCCTAAGACAGGAGAGAAGGAGGTGACAGAGGTGAGAATGTGTCAGGAAATGTAACTGATGTGCTGGGGGAGAAGAGAAAGGTCCTGGTAGAATTCAGGTTCAAGAAGAGATGGGAGTTTGTGTGTCTGTGTTTGCCTTGTGAAAAACATCCACCAAACTGCTGAAGAGCTGCTGAGGCCAATGTTTCCTTTCTCCCACAGGCTGTGGAGAGCATTGAGCAGGTTGCCCACCTGTGCCAGTCTGAGACAGAGGAAGTCAGGAATGCAGCCAGGGAAACAACGCTGTCCTTTGGTAAGGCTTTCAAACAGTCTGAAAAAGTGATGTGAAATAGTGCAGGACCAGGAGAGGCCTCAGGTGCAGCCTGAACACATCCAAGACAGTGGAAATCCCTCATGAACAGCTGTTTCATACCATGGAGACAAACTTTATATCACAGGTACCAACCAAGGGCCCTTGTGTTGAGGTTTATAGAACCAGACCAAGGAAATTCTCCAGGATAAAGTGCTTTAGGAACCACTGAACCTTTTGAAAAGGTGGCAGATAAGAACCAAAGATGCTGGAAGTGATGCTGGAGAACTGTTTCCCTATTCTATTCTTCCAAAACCCCCTTTGATCCATGTTTAGTCCTGGGGATCTCCAGACTTGCTTCCCAGAAACACTCAGGCTCACGTGCATGGCAAGTTTTCCAGCTGTGATGCTCCAAACTGTTACTCACATGGAAGCATTGACAGGAGGCCTGATTTTCCATGGTGGCTTCCAGCAGGTTTTGGAAAACTGTTCCCTTAGGGACGTGTTTGGGAGTCCTTGTTAGTTCCAAACAAGGTCACAATGGAAGTGTTTCCAGAGGATCCCATTTCTCAGGTGTTTTGTGTCTCTCCCTCAGCACAGGCTGTTTCCTTTCTCCACAGGGGAAAAGGGCCGCCAAGCCTTCGAGAAAATGGACAGGATCTGCTGTGAACTGAGGGAAACTGCCCAGCACGAGGCCGAGATTGAAATCACAGTGTTTTAGGAGTGCAAGGGGAGGAGCTGCATCCCCCTGTCCTCACAGCCACACGGGGACCTGAGGGATGGCTTTGGTTGTCCCTGCTCTGTCCGTGCTGCATCCTGCCCCAGGACAGGCTCATTTCCAAAGGGCAGAGTTTGCAGTCTCCACAGTTCAGGCTGGAACACATTTTCTCACCATCTCTCAGCACATGATCAAATACCAAGTGCCTGGATGAATGAAAGCTGGGATCTCTTGGAATGTGGCACCAGGTTGTCACTGGAGTTAAAATCTCCATCTTGCTGGAATTAGCTGCCCCTGCTCAGACTGTAACTCCAGTATGATTTATTTTCCCATGAAGTGTTTTATTAATTTGGCATTTCCTGAGGGAGAAATGATCACTCTCCAACAGTCCCTCTGGAAGGCAGCAGACAACAGCCTTTTACACCAACAGATCCAGCAGCATTGCTCAGTGGGTTCTTTTGCCTGGACAATTTGGTTACAGAAGGAAAACTTGTTACTTCCAAAGTCTTCAGCCTGGTTGCAGCTTAGGCCACGTTCCAGCAGGGACTCAGAGTGTGTGGGAGCAGTGTGTGTGCTGAGCAGGAGGGTCTGTGTTGGGTTTGCCAGGTGCAGGTCTGACTGAGGGAGGGACAGGTTTGGGTTGGTTTTAAATTTTGAGTTTAGTCATAGATCAAGACTTCTCATAATCATCCCCCTGGTGTCAGGCCCTTCCTCAGCCCCTGGCTGGCAGGGCAGGGTGGCCGTGGAGAGAAGCCTGGCCTCAGGTACAATACTTGAAAGGGTTGGGCTTGTGTGTACATATTTTTATATATATATATGTGTGTATAAAACGTTTCTATTCAGTATTTATTTGTTGGATTTCATACTGTTTTCTGAAGTTCTAATAAACCACTGAGCCAAGTTCCTGTGAGTGTTTTGTGGTGCTGTGCTGGCAGGCCTGGGGACAGGTACAGGGCACTGGGCTTGATCCCTGTCCTGCCTGGGACAGGTCAGGCTTGGACCCCTGGAGTTCAAATTGACCTGATTCATGTGAAAGACTAGAGCAGGGAGTTGGAGGGGTCAGGGAGAGACACAGGGGACTCATCTCATCTCTTTTATTCTGCCTACAGGAAGTTCTTACAATAACATTTAAATCACTTTCCTCTACAACCCCCCAACGTTCCCCTCCCGCCCCCCTGTGCATGTGGGTCAAGCAGGAGCCTGTGTCTCCAGCCCCAAAGCAATAAGAGACCCATCGAAGTTCTTTAAAAAAAGAATTTTATTGTTACAACTAAAATGAGAACTGAAAACTTGTATGGGAGATTGAAAAACTGTACAGTTGTACTCTAACCTGGGAGGCCCAGCAGCGGCTTACACAAAAGACAAGATACCTGAAACTGTATTATACCAAAACATTCAGCTTTTTTGTTGAGTTTTTAAAATTTTTTTTTTATAAAAGTTTATTCTATGGCAATCTGTAAAAAAAGAAAGACCTGATGAGTAAATATTTGCTTAAGGCAGATAGCAGAGCAGCTCACTAACGTCCTACCGAGTCTAACATGGATGTTTGTCCATTTCCAAGAACAGGTTACCCAACACCCCCACGGTATTTACACCCCCCAACTACCACAGACAGTACAGGACAGCAAAACAAAATGGGAACAGTTCAGTATTCCAAGCCTTATCCACACCTCAGGGGCCTGGGGAGCAGTCACTTTGTGTCCTGGGACAGGGGAAGAGCTGGACCTGGAACAGAGGGAAGGAACAGGTGGAAAGGGGGATGCTCAGAGCTTGCCTATGACCTGCAGGAACTCTCTCTTGGTAGAATCATTTGCAATTGAATTAATCTGGAATCAAAGGAAGGAGGCTTTGTTTTCCTGCCATACCAAAAACTTAAAATATTCTCTCTTGGGAACATGTGCAGAGGGGGGGGGTTTGGTTTGTGTCTTTCCAAAGGTGCCCCTGCTGCCCCCAGGCCAGGGGAGGTGTGGATAGGGCTGACTAAACTCTGGAATGTCTGTACTACACTCACTCAGCTGAAAGGAACATGCTACCACCGGGCACACGGGATCCCACGGGAAGTCATGCCAAGGATTAGGCGAGTACATATTATCTGATAAACACCCAACAGGCCATCGCTGAACGAGGAGACTTTCAGCAACACCCTCTGAACCACAGCCACTAAGGATCAGGTCATGCAAATATCATTTGGGCACATCAGGAAGCAGAAATATAAGTTCTTTCACCTTTCAAGCACGTGGTGTTTCATCGGGACACCGGAGACTTCACATGCAGTTTAATACAAAGGGGTACAAATGGTGCCTCAGGGCAGGACCTGCCCGTGCTGGAGAGAACAGTGGGGACAAAGCAATCACATAATGTATCTTAAATACACAGATGAGCCATTATATATTACCATTTTTCTATACTCATTTTTCCTGTTTCCAATAATATAACTAAATATTGACTGATTACAACATTCCTCCTTTCAAGTACTGGTCTGACCAACAGTCTCACAGGTAAAAGGATTGATTCCCAGTACTACCTGAGGATTTATTATTGTACTCTTGAGAAGCCCTTGATGCAAGCTTAACAAAACACAAAATAGAAATAACTCCAACCCCCCCCGACCCCCTTCACCTACTCACCCACTGAAGGAAGAGCTACACCTACAGCCAGCTTGGCAAAAATAAATACTGAGTGGAGAGAGCTCCCCTGGGCTCCTCCACAGCAAGGCCTGCACTGAGGGGGTGCTTAAGTGCTCTAAATCTACAGAGACTTGAGAAATGAAACGAGCAGATCAGTAACAGTGCTGCAGACCAGCTGTCCTGGGTCAGCTCAGTCTCGACAGCTCTCAGCAGTGAGTTTGCTCCTGGCCTCTGCTCCACGACACAAGCAAAGAAATCTTTGCTATTATTGTTTAAACTATTAATCATTTGGTAGTACCGAGAGGAACAGCATTGGCTGCCTAGTGCAATGCTGCCTTCCAGTCCCAGTCCTACCCACACCCCCAAATCCTTATTTACAAGCACTTTACACCCTGGAGCCCTGGGCCAGGCCCACAGCAGGGCCAGTGCTGGGCCCAGCCTGGCTGCAGGACCCCCACCTAGAGCCAGGACTTTAATCTTGGCTTTACACAAAGCAGAACACACAAACACTTGCATCATAAACCGACATGTTCACAGACCAACCCGGCTCCTGGTGAACTGTCTGTGTCTCAAGGAAGCTGCCACAGCCTGGATTGCTCTGGATTTACCAAATGCTCTCCTGCCCCGTGCCTGCAGCACCCCCGGGGCCTCTCCCCTGGCTGGAAGCAACGGCTGGTCCTGACGGAGCACACGGAGAGTGAAACTGCATTTTACATTCCAAATGATGAGGTTTAAGAACTGGTCCTTCCATGGCAGAGTGCTGGTGGACGTGGTTTGGTTGAATTTCCCTTCCTGTTTCTCTCTCTCCCCCCTCAATCTCTCCTAACCCAGAATATAAAACTAAAAACAGCTTTAGAAAGGATGGTGCAATGTAAAGAGCCGTATGTGCAAGTAGAGTGCAACAAAAGTCAATGAGGAGATACACTTAGTAAAGGAAAAAAAAAAAAAGGAAAAAATCCAAGAGCTGGACGTGTTGGGATACCCTGAGCAAATGCAGAAGCCTGGTTCTATCAACACAAGTAAAACAATCAGCTCTTTAAGAACAGTTATGCCAAGATTAAATATATCAATACCACAGGCACTGCCCACAACTCAGTCTTTAATGATGAAGCAAGTTTTAAAAAAAAAAAAAAAAAAAAAGAAACAAAAAACCAACCACAAACACCCCTCCCCTTCCAAAGGTTTACATTCTTCAGGTATGTGGGTTTCTTTTTCTTTTTTGGGAACTCGTCAATGTAAGTCATGTATTTGGTTACAACACTTGGAGAGTACAAGCAAGTTTCACTTGTGCCTACTTTTTCTGAAACAAAAGAAAATGAACTGGCTTTTTAAAAAAGGCTAAAAACAACAATGTGTTGTAATTCTATTATTTAGTTAAAAAAAAATCAAAACAAACAAAAAAAAAAACCAAAAAAGGAAACCAACTATTTGGCATTTTCTCTGCTTACTCCTGAATATTTTAAGGCCCTGAGATTAGAATATTATGTTCTTGGGACCACAGGGCTGGATAAAACCCTAGTGCATCAATTCTCTCTTTAAGCCCTACCCAAAGTTCTGGCCTTTCACACTAAATCTACCTGCTCTGAGACAAGGCTCCCCTGCCTGGACTGCTCCCTCTCACAGGAGCTCCCACAAACCCCGACCGGGCGTGTTCCCCGCGGGTCCATCCTGCTGGAACAGCCATCAGTGGAAACACACCCTGTAGCAGAGATAAGCTCCTGCTGTGAGGAAAGTGAACATGCAGATGTTCACTAGAAATGGCTTCCACGTTGTCACCATGTTCTCATCCTCCTCGTCCGAGTTCTCCGACTTGGACTCCTCTTTGTGGGGCGAGAGACGCGGATTTTCACCAACAGTTCTCCTCCGAATTTCAGTGTCTTGACTAGTGCTTAAGGACAAAGAAATCAATATTCAGTACTGGGTGGACACAAATATTCCTCACTGGATTCGCCATGGAGCCCTCCTGAACCCTGGCACAGTGTAGGACTGGACTCCAGCAAGGGGAAAGTCAGATGTCCAGTCCAAGCGCCTCCAACCAATGAAGACAGGCAGTTCCAGGGAGGATTCAGCTCCATCCTCAGACAAGGGACTACACTAAATAAAATCAATCTGACCTCTGAGCTCTCTGGAGCTGGACATGTCTGATGTTCATTTACACTAAACTGCCTAAATGATAATTTCTAAGAAATTATTTATTCACTGGGAAATTCAGATTTATCCCACTAGTGAGAAGACACGAGACACCAGTTTTAAATCCATACCTTCAGTGGGTGTGGAAATCATCACCAGGCATCTCACACTGCAGGCAAATGTTCTGCTAACAGAACTATACTGTCACCAAAGAAAGAAAGAGGGAGATGCTACCAGTGCAACACTTCCTTCTTTCACTGCTAAGCCTCCACTTGTGTGTGTTCCTGTTTCCAAGACTTCCTTTCTTTTTAGCAAATATTGTTTGGAATTTGAGTATTTTTCCTTTCAGAATCTCCCCAGTGAATTAAGAAAAATCCAGATCAAAACATTGTTTCTTTTGGGCAGGGAAACACTTCCATTTTATCTCCCTGCCTGCAGCAGAACTTGGAGGGAGACACCATGTTCAGCTCCTGGTTGCAGCCTCCCAGCTCTGTGAATTTAAGACTATGGGAACCTCTCACTGATCTCCAGCTCCCAGAGCCACACACCCATCACCTGTCACTTCTTAACAGGGTGCCAGAAGAGGCCCCAGCCCACGGGGAAGTTAAACGAACATGAGTGTGAGACCTCGACTGAGAGAATTTTGGCTTGGAACTACTATTCCTACTCTTACACTGCCTCGATCTGCTCAGGCCCTTCTGTGTGAAATGCTGTTGATGTGCCAATGTCCTCCACACAAACAGAGATCCCGGGACACTTCACGGCAGGAAAAGCCCTGAATTACCTGTCTGTGCTCAGCGGTGCAGGTGAACGAGCTCTGCCGTCTGGGACCGTCTCCTCCACGGTGCTCACTGAGCGTGTGATCTCCTCCTCTGCTCCCGGGTGTTTGGGAAAGAATTCCGTGTGTTCGTGCATCCTCCCGTTGTGCATTTCCGAGGTTCGCTTCGGTGGCCGGGGAGGTGGGGGGGTGTGCTCAGGTGGGGGGTCCAGGTCCTCGTTGGAGAGCTCTTTCCACTGCTCCTTCAGGGAAGGACAAGCCCTGGTAAGCTCTTCTCTTCTCTCTGTAAGCTACTCTAAACTTTACCATGGCAGAATCTTTATACTCTCCCTTTTAATTAATTCTTAAAGTGGCTCTTCATTTGC